TACTATTACCTATGAAAAATTTGAAATCACTATAATTTTAGCTTTTTAATAGTAATAGGAATCTATAATAACAAATTCAACATGCTAGCATTGTTTAAGTGTATAGCCTGTACATCCTTAAGCGTACGCTGCTCCATTGTTTCGTATCGCTTTCCCGTTTCTTATCGATCTCCATGGTATCACGTCATAAACGATTTGTAAAAAGAGGCGAAGAATATCAAACGTGTGAGAAGTGTCAAACGGTGCGCGTTTCTGTTCGCAGAATGACGACGAGGAGCTGATCGATCCGTTCTGCGTCGAGGATAATCCTCATAAGATCACATTCGAGGATATCACGTCTGCTGCTTTCAAAATAAAATGTGGAATCGTGAACACTCCTTGCGTGGTACGAGTCAAAATGGAACGTCAAATATTCCGTTTACAATTTTTGAACGACGACGATGACGAGCAATTTTTGTTTCATGCAAGCAATCGCGGCTGTCGGACGCGACCGGCATCGATCTTTACCTGAAGAAGGACTTCCTGCAGAGAACCGGAAGTTTTAAGGAGCGCGGGGCGCGATATGCCCTGCTGATGTTGTCCGAGGAACAGAAGCAGGCCGGCGTGATTTCGGCCTCGCTGGGCAATCACGCCCTCGCGCTCTGTTATCACGGGTACAAGCTGGGTATACCTGTGACGGTGGTGATGCCGGTGCTGGCGCCGATCATGAAGATCGCTGCGTGTCGACAATACGGTGCCAACGTGATCGTCGACGGCCCTGATATGGGGGAGGCAAAGCGTATCGCGTTGAGACACGGCAAGGAGAAAGGACTGACGTATATAAATGGGTAAACAGTCCCCCTCGTGACGCGATAGCAAAAATATTATTGATGACGCGATGATGAATAAGTGATGAATTGTGAAAGCGTTCCTCTCGACTTCTTCTGGTCGCATCCAAATTACTCGACGAGATAGAAACATTTCATACGAGTCAGAGATTCTTCTAATTAAATCGTCCGTTCGGTCCGTAGATACGATCACCCGGATATAATGGCGGGCCAAGGGACTCTGGGATTGGAAATTGTGGAACAAGTTCCGAACATAGACGCGGTAGTGGTTCCGATCGGAGGCGGCGGTCTGATCGCGGGCGTGGCTCTAGCCGTGAAAACCCTGCATCCGAACGTGACGATCATCGTGAGTAATCGCTCGCCTATTCAAATCTTTGCCTTCCCAGATAAACCGAGGGGAAACATTTGCAGGGCGTCGAATCGGAAAGGTGTCCTAGTTTCTACATGGCCCGAAAGACGAATCGACCGACTCGTGCGACGATAGACTCGACTCTGGCCGATGGTTTGGCAGTGCCCATGGTCGGTTACAACGCCTTCGCCACCGCGAATTCGTTGATCGACAAATTGGTCGTGGTCAAGGAGGAGTGGATAGCCATAGCCATTCTGAAACTAGTGGAGAACGAGAAGTGCATCGTCGAAGGCGCTGGGGCTACCGGCCTGGCCGCTATTCTGGCGGGCCAGCTCGACGAGCTCAAAGGCAAACGGTATGTTTGATGTCCAGTTAATTGAACAAGTTCCCGAATTCAAGTTTATTCCAGTACCGAAATTTCGAAACAAATTCACGAAGCAGGAAGAATCAGAAAATGACTTAATATCGTCTCAAAATAATTCTTAACAAATTTTCTATCCTAGAGTGGTACTGTCTTTATGCGGAGGCAATATCAGCCGGAAAGAATCAGGAAATGACTTAATGTCATCTCAAAATAATTCTTAACAAAATTTTCTATCCCAGAGTGGTACTGCCTTTATGCGGAGGCAATATCGACACAACGATTCTAGGAAGATGTTTGGAGCGAGGATTAGCGGCGGAGGGTAGGCTTTTAAAGTTCACGGTGACCGTGTCGGACCGACCCGGTGGAATCGCGGAATTGTGCAGGATGCTGGCCAGCATCGGTGTCTCGATAAAGGACATCATGCACGAACGGGCGTGGATCATGTCGGACATTTTCAGCGTAGACGTGAAGGTGGTCTGCGAGACCAGGGACAGGGAACACGCAACACAATTGAAGAACATGTTGCATCAGAATTATCAGAGGGTCGTCTTCGGTACCAGTGATAACTCCACTTCACATCACCTGAACGTTTAACACAGCCTCTGTGCCGTGAGCATTGATCAGACTGTTTCGAAATTATACAGACAGATCGCAGATCTTCGCAATTATTCGAAATCTCCGAATCGCGAAATGTCTATTATTTCTAAAGGATAACACAAATTCCTATTTAGATTCCGCTTTCTAAATTGACGTTAAAAGTATTTAATTTTGCATTAAAATCTGTAGTCTACATATACGAGGAGAAGCGAATTTTCCGCGTGTCAATAAAGACATTGCAGGTGTTAAAAAGGCAGGCTCGCGTTTCAAAGCAACGAGAGCCAGCGACGTAATTCGCACCCCCGGAGGACGGAGCTGATGGCTCGAAATTTGAGAGCAGCCTGTACGCAACGCGGTGTAAACGTACACCCGCGCGAAATTTATTACCGTTGCCATACGTTCGACAGAGAAATTCGAACATCTTCCCGCCGGTATGGTCGCGTTTTATCGTCGGGAGTACATGTTGCTTCCATGGATATGATTGGGTTTTTGGGTAAGCGACTGATCGTAAAACCCTCGTTTACGAGCCTGACGAAGAGCGCTTATTGCTGTGAATGTGTTTGCACTCGCATTAGAAGTATGTACTGTGAAATAAAAGGATTCATTCCATGTATACGAGCTCTCATGAAATTATTTAACGCTTGTTAAAAATTTTACTTCGTGGTCGAATAAAGCTGTGTCGCCGACGTATAACCGGTATAATATTTACTATATTTATAATTAAATCCGATATTCTAATTCGTAAAGCTCCGGCTTAAAGCTTGCGAAGTTCCCTATCTCGTTTGTCCCTTCTAAAGGGACCGCGATCTCATTACTCTCCCTTGCTCTGAGTCAATTTTATCCTCCGCCCCCTGCCCTCAGCTTAAAAGAAGAAACCCCGAAGAAAGTTCTCGATGCCAAGATAATGTTATTATTTCTCGAGGAACGAGTCTTAATATTTTTGCTAGCAAAAATTTCGCGGGTTTTCCACGCTGTCAAGGGATTAATGTATCTTCGCGACACGGCCGAATAATGTAGCGAGCGGGTTACTCGGAGACTTGAAAAGACGGCGACTTCTACGGAGATCCTTTTCAGCTCGGTGCACAATACATGACGATATGTCACCTTTCTAATATCGGACTACTCTGGATGAGTTATGATATGTGAACCGATCCGAGGGTGAAACTGCGAATAGCCTGAAAGATACCTTTCTGTCTTGCTCGTCTTTTCACGCGCCGCGGATGGAGACAGAGAAAGGAACAGGGGAGAGAACTAGAGCAACATTGTGCCAGAAGGAAAAGGGGGAAAAAAATGTGTGGCTTTTGTGGTCGACTTCCTTGTAAGCTTCACTAGCCATTAGTTTGATTGACACTGCTCTACTTAGATTACTATGCTATATCTATTAATTGATTGCTCGCCGGACGTTCAGGCTGGGATTTTGTAAAATATATGCGTAATAAATTTTCGTTAAACATTCCCTTTAGCAAAACTCGCGTTATTAGAATTTAAGCCGAACTGGCTGGTACATTCGAGTCAAGATTGAATTTACAATCGTACCAAGGAAACGGGTTAAAGTTTCCCCGAATATTTTCGCTCGCTCCTTTTTCCGATAAAAAACGAAAAGCCGCGAGAGGGAAAGTGGCGGTCGCATGAATTTACAGCATTTAATATCGGCAAAATGAAGTACGAGCGGGCAAGGAGCCGCCGTTTTGCGGCATCGATAAATCCGTTTTATTGCCAGTGCTCGCAGGTGGGTGGCCCGGCCACGGTTACTACCCTTACGCCTTCTCGGTGTATAACAAACACCGAATAAAAACTAATGCCCCCTTTGCTCGCGGTGGACCGACCCGGCCAACTTTTTGCGATTTATTCGCATTCGTGTTTTGCGGTCCGAATCGAGTACCCGCATCCCTTTTTTTTTTGCTTTTTATAAACTCTGGGCTTGTATTTTTTAACGAGGATGATTCGTCCGGAGTAGATCCTTCCGCATGCATCTAAATATCGCTTTAAAAGGCAACGCGAGCACACATTTTAATATTTAACCGTGTTTACGAGGGCGAAAGCCGATCTAAGTGCTAATAAACTTGAGATAAATTGCGAAGAAGGTATAAGGCAACTGGGGTAGGCGGGGGTGAGAAACGTACAATGAAACACGTGCCGACGAATTATCAGGGAATTTTTCGGAATTAGTCGAGAGAGAACGCGCCGCGCCGCGCCGCGTCGGCTAAAGGATTTTCGAGGAGCCAGAGTTTTCCAAGATGAAAGTTAATTCCGGTGGATAATCCAGCTTCGACGGCGGGGATGGGTGTCGTAACGAGGGCGAAGAAAGATCCGGTCCGCTCCTTTTTCAGCTAAATCTTCGTGCCTGGATCGAGAGCTTCGCCAAATTTATGAGATTTCGGCTTTGGTCCGAGGAAACGGGGCTCGGGGGTTGGGAGGGAGGAGGGATTAACTTTGTCGAGCCATTTTGTCGACCGCGGCCGAGCTTTGTGACCGGGAGAAGACACATTCCCAGCAATTAGCCAACCCCGCCCCTGTGTCCTTTTCCCAGACGTACTGGGTGTTTCTGAAATCACTGGCAGTTTTATAACTACAGTGAATCATTCAATAAACAATGTCATTTTTCTTATTTCGGAAAAGACTAAACTAAAAATCAAGAAATTGTCCGACTTCAAAATTCAGTACCGAAATATTCGATATCCATAATAATACGATTCGAGGATATCAGATTTAAAACTGAGAAAACTTATTAAATAACTCCGTGAAGAATATTTCTCTACCGAGGATTTAAGAGAAGATCTATCCGAGGGAAAAAAAAGGGAAGACGGTAAAGGGCTCCTGGAAGTTAGTTATTAGTTTTTAAGCCGCTTGCGGCCTCGTAGAAATAACGGGGAGCAAATAAATCCCGGATGGGGATGCGTCGTCGAATCGAAGCCTGAGAAGTATGATTATTAACGCAAAGACTATGCACCTATGGTTGAACACAAATATTTTTATATCATCGTCGAAAGTTATCGGTAGACCGACGCATATGTATATGAACCGATTGCATATCTTTCAGATGGGACCAAAATTTGTATGTATGTAAATCCATTTTTTTAAATTCATACAATTCTGCATACAAAATCTGCATCTGGTCATTTGGTATTCTTATGCATATATTGCGCAAGAAACTGATGTAGAAAATGTTCCGGACTAACTCGAGTACACTGATTAACACGCAGGGACCGTGTTCGCTGAAGCGTTAAAGTTAATGGAAACAAGCGACGTCGCGCCCGTACAACCAGGGCTTGGTTCGAAGGTTAAATAAAGCCATTGTTCGAAAGTTCTCTAATTAATAGGACGTTAAGGAGCGCTCGATAAAACGGTTACCGAAATGTCAAACCGGGGAAACTTTCCCCGAAGCTTTGGCTTGGTAAAGAAAGGGAAGAAGAATCTAGGAGAGGGGAAAGACCTTCACCTAACCCAGACCTGCGAGAGTTTCGGAAGGGGACGCCTTTACTTTTGAACACCTCTCGGTCGGCCTTGTATTAATTTAATAAATCCGACTTGGCAAAATATTGAAGAGATCCTTGATAAAATTTTATTTCAATCCGGTTTTTCGTTCTTTTTTCTCAATTACTCCTAAACGATTACAGTTGGAAGAAAATTGTGTAGAATTATAATTGTAGGTGATAGGTGTGCCTACAATTTTTGTTCGGAACATTTTTTGCTAGGATAATTGATTAAATCATAGTTATTCGAAAATAGGATACGAACTCTTCTCGTAGTTATAAAAGACGCTTTAAATGTGACAGCAGGACTTTGACAGATTTTACTTTATCTTTGAACAGAGATTTTGATTCTATCAGAGCTTTGAATTCGTTTTATTCTTTGGAATTAAAGAGAGCGTCCGATTCTCAGGAGGCGAGCCGCTGATTTGCGAAATTTATTTGTAGGAAAGTTTGCTCGTTAAAAGCGCGCGTTTTCGCACACTATCGGACTGTTCCCGACGCTGAAACAATGCTCGTAACGGCCAGATAAGGTACGCGTTTTTTCCACCAGTTCGTCTCCCCCTCTAGTCTCGTTTCGTGTCTCGAAGCTTTATGCGCGCGGAACAATGCTTTTTCTTCGTGCGCATTATTAAATTGATATTTATCTTCACGATTTCTCGCTGCGCCACGTCCTGCCTCGCAAAAATATTCAACCACGTTACACATCCCAATCGCGAGTGTCTGCACACGACATAGATTCACACGGGAATATCGCCCGTTGTTCCTTAGCAGAAATTTACGTACACGCGTCCCGGCATTGATCGTCGTTTTTCGTCGACTCACCCTGTTTCGTAGCACCTTCTCGACGTCGTTAACCGTTCGTTCTGTAACGTTTTTTGCGCGAGAAATTCGACCGTACCTTTTGCTGCACTTTGTTTTCCTTTCATTTTTTGCGGTAATTTACCTTGTTGCCCCCTTTCATGTTTTTTCATTTCCGTACATCCACCGGCGTGTCGACGCTCTATTCTCTTTGCTTCGCTTCGAGCACGGTGATTTTTTACATACATTTTATTCGTGCAATCCCTTTCACCGAAGTAGCTTTTAATTAAATACAATTTCCGTGCACTAGAATGACGTTAAGTGCTTGCCACATTTTTTCCGAATCACTTCAGAAACATTGAACACCGTTTCTATGTCTTGTAAAGGATTTTTGGCTGAACGAGTCAGAAGTCGAGCCGCTAACTCTGCCCTTTGTAACCAGGGTAGAGAGGAGGTGTCACTATGTTCTCGTTTAACCTCTCCGCGCTCTAAATCTTCATTTATCCATGGTTCCGGGGAGAGTACCGGGCCTTTAGGCGCGGCATAATTAGTAAGTTCTTTTAACTCTGCCCGGGCGTTGATCAACTCGCCGAGATTAAATTTTCGAGTGGTCCCCGCTCGATCGATCTCCCCTAATTGTGTCTTCCTCTCAAGGCCGATGTCTCAAGACTTTCTCAAAGACGCTGATGGACGTCCACGGACAATTAAACGTCGCAGTGATTATATTTCCTCGTTAATACGATTTAATGGCGACCAATTTGCATTTATACGACGAATTATTTATTTTCTCTTTGAACGAAACGCGACACGACGAGAGGGTGTCGAAAATTAGCCATGGAAATGAAATAAGGACAGCTCGTCTGCCAATATTATCGCTGATCGTTATTGAAAATCGCTTCTGTTTTATGATATCGCGTCAAGCGTAATGCCAGATCCGAGCCAATCTTATCTGCAACGTATTAATGTCTCCCCGGATATTGCTTCCAGACCTCTCGTTACGACTGCTCCCCTTTCGTCGTTAGACTCCGATTACAATGAGCAAATGAAAATTTGTGACATTTCAATTCTTTCCATTCACGATTCAGCATACATGACGTTGTGAAAATCGGAGGAACACATTCGGAGGTAGAAAAAAAAAACTGGTCGATATCAAGAGAAGCGTTCCAGCATCGTTTTTACCGATTCTTTTTCGGTCGAATTCAGGCAAGACTGGCTCGTATTCCGACTCTATTTCCACTGAAATCTCGGGATCGCGTGACAGAGAACAGCGAGCCCGGGGAAAAAAGCGCGCGGCTGACTTTTCGTCGCGTTTGGAAAATGCGAGAGTCGCAGTTCCAGCGAGTTTTTGTTTTCCTTTTCTTTTTACGACTCCGCGCAATTTTCCGAGGAGGTGCCCGTTGACAAAAGTCAGCAGCTCTCGTC